ATATTTTTTAGTTATTAATTTTTATATCATTTTAGCAATTTAATTAAGTAACATGTACTAATTAACTAACACAATAAACCAATGAACTAAAGAAAATATAATAAATGCAATAATACATAAATAATTACAATAAAATACAACAAAAAAATTATAACTATCAATACATTATAATTGTTGCACAAATACAATAACAATTGTTTTAGGTCTAAACCATATCAAGCACATATAGGGATTTTTAGAGTTATTTTGCACATTAACACATTTTAAAAAATATTAAAAATTTTAAAAAAAAAATGTGTGCAGGTTGGGTAGGATAGAATACATAAATTTTGTGGGTATTAACATTCCTACTTAATTTTTTTGTGAAACACTAAAAATTCTTCAATTACATGATATTTTGCGGAAGCCCGATTAGTAAGATCGAGTAAGGTCGAAATATGCGGATAAATGAAAATTTGAACACGTTACGTGTGATTTAAGTATATTGATTTTGCACCTTACATAATATGATACACCCAATGTGAGACGACACTTACGAGTTGTTTGATACAAAATAAATCAATTTTTTTTTAGGAATTTTAATCAAAAAATGACGTGTTTTCAGATGGAAGTAATTTTTTGAAACACTAGCTAACAAAACGATTTTGTTTGACTATCTAGGATATTGAAAAATAAAAGTCCTCTTTTGTTATTCGTTTTATTACAAGAGTAAATAGTTTAAAAGTATTGTCCTCTGACTCTTTTAGGTTTTGGAACTAGAACTCTTTAATTTTTGATATAAATGAATTATGTTAAAAACTTAAATATTTAGATTATTAATTTTTTATTTTAGTCCTTGTAGTCTCTTTAAATTATTTTATATAACAAAATTGTTATGCAAGAAATGTTATTATGATCTTTTTCACAGGTATATTTACTATTAAATATTTTTTATAAAATTATAAGTATACAATACACGATGCACAATTTTTAAAAAACGATACTTATACATATTCACGTTTTGACAGCCTTACATTATAACAACAAAAGAAGAAAAAGAGATTAAAAAACAAATGGTGACCCTTTCTTGGATATGGCCCATATCAACCTGAAAAAAAAAAAAAAAAATCTCTGTTTAATGAAAGAAGAGTCTTGGTGCTGATAGTATCAATGAAGTCGTCATCATGGTATCTTGTTTTCCTTTTGAGTTTGTGGTTGATTCTTCTGGNAAAAAAATCTCTGTTTAATGAAAGAAGAGTCTTGGTGCTGATAGTATCAATGAAGTCATCATCATGGTATCTTGTTTTCCTTTTGAGTTTGTGGTTGATTCTTCTGACACAAGCAAATGAATTGAAGGTAACAAAATCAACATTTAAGATATTTTTATTTCTTTAAAGTGACAGATAATTATATACAATCAAAATTTTAACCTCGAAAAATGATGCTAACCACATCTTCCAAGATAACATTTGCAAATCACACATATTCCAAGATAACATTTGCAAATCACACATGTTCTCTTGTGAGATTCAAACTTGATATTCTGAGATAAGTGATATATGTCGTTTTGTCAATTCAAGCCAAAGAAAAAAAATATATAAACAAAGCCACCGAATTCTAGAGAGAAAGAGAGAGTTGGTCTGCATTGTCACTTGATTTCACATGCCTCTGTGAATCCTCTCTGTATCATCTGTTAACTTCAACAAAGACAGCACTCTCTCTCTTTCTTTTCTCTCATACATTCAACGGTAAGAGTATTTGAATCAATGTACGCACATTTTGACTAATTTTTTTTTNTCTGTATCATCTGTTAACTTCAACAAAGACAGCACTCTCTCTCTTTCTTTTCTCTCACACATTCAACGGTAAGAGTATTTGAATCAATGTACGCACATTTTGACTAATTTTTTTTTCGATTCGATCAAAAACATGTCATTCACGTCAAAATTAAAGTGTTCACGAGAGATAAATCTTCGTGGCCGACCTATGAGATTTCTCTCTCTCTCTCTCGTCTGTCATTTTAAGGAATCAGGAAGCCCCACACTGGCACTTCTTGTACTCTATAACCTTGTGCTTCATCTCCAGATGTTGAACTTTAAACTCAACCCATTGATGAAGACATGAAAACTTGAGGCAGGTCCCACCTACTCCCATTGTCTCAATTAGATAGATGGCTAGTTATGGAGTCCCCTACACGTTGATAATGATGGTGATCACATAGTACAAGTGTACCAACCTTCAATTATGCCGATAAGGTTGCAAGGTGAAAATCCCAGTTTCACCTGGCTGTTAAAAAAAAAAACAAAAAAACCAAAAAAACGTTTCATCTGGCCTATTACAAATATTGGATCAAAATTCATTTTATCCTCTAGACCAAACTTATGATTTGTGCTAACAGGGTAGTACTCCACTCTCAAGTTTTTAAAATTTATTTTCAACCATCAAATTCTAGGTAATTTTATCGGAGTTATTATGTTGAACCTTTCAAAGCCGAATACAATAAACAACACTCCTGTTTGTAATAGAGTTTAACATAAACAGACTGTCAAAAAATTTTATAAAACGTTATTGGTAGAAAAAAATATGAATGAAAGATCCAACCAAATTGAATTGAGTCCATGAATCAAAAAAATAGTGAGAATTCTTGATCTCTCTCAATTTGAAAATTCATGATTTAAATTGATCAACGTCCTTTCATTGATTCCTCCTAAATTGTATTTTGCTATGGAAAGTAGGAAAGATGTTCTTTATCTCAACTGTCTATTGAGGTGGAAAATTCATTTTTACTATTACGGTTTCAGTATCTTACTCTTGGCGAAGATCGAGTCAAAGAACATCCATAATTAGTAGTGTAAGATGTGTTCTTTCTCCACTAAAGTTGAGAGTCTACCACAAGGATCAAGATCAAACTAACTTCTTTTATACTTTTTCTATTTATGAATTGCCTAATTCTTTTTTTGCAATTAGCGCTGAGCAAGAAGATGAATTTGTCTTAATGACTCATTTACGTCTCTTAAGTTTGCAAGTTTTCCGCTCTTCTTTCTTCCAACTTATCACAAAAGTTCTTCACCTAAATACAGTAACAATAAAGAGCTCCAACTAACCCACTTCAAGTTATATTGTTCAGTCTCCGGGCACTGACACTTACTTGCACGGGCACTTACTTGCGGTTACTTGTTCATTGACTTTCCTCAAAGTAAGTCATGTTTTTCTTGGGTTTGAAATGCCCCCGTATATGGAGGTGCATCCCATCAATTATATCATATTCCACGAAATAGATATATGTGTTATGATAAAAGTCTAAGTTCGAAAAAAAAAATGGATGAGATTGGATCCAGTCAGTCGACACAATCTTATTTTTCTGAACATGTAGAGATAAAAAAAAAAGCCATTACAATTGTCGAAAATACTAGGCTTATGAAAGGCACAAAAAAAGAGGGAAGGTTGAGAGTTATCATAAAATGGATACCTCGATTTACTATTTTATTTTTACTTATTTTTATTATTTGTGCAATTCAATCCTTCTTTCTAGCAATGATTCCCCAAAAAAGCAAAACTTCACTAGACCAAAGCCCATTGCGATAGAAACTGAACTATATAAACGAATGACTAAGGTAATTTTCAATCTATTAAAGGATAGACCGGCTCTTTTAAAAAGACGCCCTCCTAATCTCACTTAGATGAGAAGAGATATTGATGATTATCCAAGGATGCTTACTACTCTGTTGATAGATCAAGTGAGCCAAACCAAACCCCTTATAAGGACAGCACCACCCAACTTGCTCCTCTTTGTGGAAATGTGAAAGCGCCCACACATATATCATGTTTTTCCATTGCGGCGTTAAGCAGCTTGCAAGTTCAGACTGTGCAAGAACATCAATGAAGATGATGACCACAACCCACTCAAAGAACATCAATGAATGGTCCCCTATTCTATATATTGTATGGACACCAATCCTTGTACATTGTGATGATTGTGATCACATTGCTTTGAACAAACATTTTTATCAGGAACCACCACAAGGGATGACATATCTTGAAAGTGAAATTTCAAATTTGTTTTGTCAATTGAGTTACTATTTATCCTGATCCCGTTTAATTCACTTTTTTTTTCAATTTTTTTCAAAATAAATATCACTCGTCGTACATTGGTGAGAGACCCACAAGGGGACTTACAATCTCCTGGTAGGTTGGTGAACACTTGGGGATCATGTATAATAGATCTTATTTGTATTGATAGAAGATGATTTCCATAAAGGGAAGTTAAAAGAAAGTGTATTTGAGAATCCACAAATCCATCTACAGAGTGTTCAAGTTTACGGTGATTACTCCCTCAAACTCTGAGCCGGCCACGTTAGATCTACAATTGCATTTACATGTCCACATAGATGCCTAAATTGGAAAGTGAAAAACTTGGTCATGAAGTTTTAGTCCGGTCTTGCATCATCCGCTATTCTATAAGGAAGTACCTCAAAAAGCTCCAAGGATTTATGCTCGTAATTATGTGGTCCATGTAAAAATGTGCTTGTAACGGGTGCTCTAAAAGATCCGGATAGCAAAATAAAATGCGGGCAAGTGCAACAGAGTGTGCCAAAGCTCCAATCAGGTCACACAGTAATATGTTTACGTTGTTACCTAAACCCAAGTAAAATTCAATGCATATTCTTTCGATTCATAAATTGCACTCTCTCGCTAAGTCCTTGGAGGAATCCAAACCCATTGAAAATCGAAACACAGCAGCCTGACTTTTGGAGTATTGGCATACGCTTCAATTCAACCACACAGTAAATCTAAATAACCTAACCCCCCCCCCCAAAGACCCCCTTCTCCTCTTCTGGACCCACCCACACAAACCCAACACAAGAAACCAAAATCAGTGTTACAACAACAGTTCTGAACTCTGCAATCAATGTTTCAAGAAGCATACAAATTAGCAATGAATATCATGACAAAGGGCAATTATTTGACATGCTCAGAGCCCTGAATAGTAGCATAGCAATAAAATGGATAGCATATAAAGCAAATAGATTCCTGATTTCAATAAATAAGAGTCTCCACAATAACAAGTACAAAAGCAGCAATTCCTGCTTCTTTGGTTTTAATAAGTATTGGGCCATCCAATAACAAAGACCACAGCATAAAATCCAGAACTAATGACACCTTGGTAACCCAACAAGGGTTGCAACAAAAACAATTTCCAGATGTTACAACAAAAACTACGTATACGACCTCTTCTGTGAATTTGGTAGTTCACAATTAATCTAGAAAACTCAAATATCATATAATTTGACTAAAACAAGGCTTTGGCCCTTCAGTTAGAGGCTAGAGGTACCTCACGGTCCTTATCAGCAGGTGCACATGGCTGATTTCGTTGAACTGGCAAGCAAGGCTGTTCTTGTTGAACTGGAATGGCGGGCTGTTCTTGTTGAACTGCCATGGTGGGCTGTTCTTGTTGAATTGGCATGGTGGGCTGTTCTGGCTCAACAGGCACACATGGCCTCCAAACTGTGTCCTTGCCCACATCCATTAAAGCAATGCCCTTTGCAGCCAAGTCACTTCGAATCTGATCACCTCTTGAAAAGTCCTTGTTTTTCCTTGCCAAGGCTCTGTCCTCAATAAAATGTAAAACATCATCTTCTGTCAACCCAGCTCGTTTTAATGCTTTATCTTTTAACTGCTGCAGAACCTGACCAGCATAGTATGCAACTTTGATGAATCGCATTATCAGAAGAAAAAAAAAATCCATTCACAAATATGCAAGCATTAATTCCATTCTCGTCGAACCTCAGAATAGCTTGAACTCGACAACAATCCCAGGACATCCAATACTTCCTTCACATTTTTTTCTAACTGAGTGAGTGACTGAATTACTAATAACTGTTGCTTCTTCTGGTAATTTATCAAGCCAAACCACTTTGTCAGTGACATAAGAGAGAGAGAGAGAGAGAAAGAGAGAGAGTGGATACGAATTCCTACCTTAAGCATGTTCAAACAACCATTCATGAGTCTCAAGGCTTCTTGAAGAGATGCATTCAGAATAGTTGGTGTGTGCAAATCATCAGACATTTTTGTCTCAAAATCACTACGAAGTTTACTGATGCATTCTTGTGCAGCAGGAGTAATACGAGCTGATTTGCCACTTGGCTCGGTTCTTTCTCGAGATAGCAACAAAGCATCTTCACAATCTTGTAATGTCTATCAATCACAGAAACAAATCATAATTGTCTATGTTGACAGAATGTGTAGATTTTTGCTAATGTATCTCTGGATAGATTTATAGTATGATAAGACAGAGTCGATAGAAATCAGATAAGTAAACAGAATAACAAACTGTAAAAAAAGATAACATTTGCTTGACAGACAATCGCAATATCTGATTGGTGGCCATATGACAAACCATTTGTCAAATATATAAGATCACGGTAGTACAGCCTGAGGGTCAAGAAAGAAGAGCTGTTTATTGTCTTTCTAACATCACCTAACACAAGCAGACTGTGTCCCAATAGAACAATTCGAAAGCTTTGCTAGATTCATGGACAGATGAATCGGTACACATCTAGTGGAATAACTTGGTTCTTAGATAAAATTCTCACCTGATATATGTAGAAAACAGCCTCTGATGCAATTTCTATCTGTGAGATTGAGTAATTGACAGGTGACCTGTAATGTGTGCCCATCAAGAAATGCCTTAAAGCGAGTGGATGGTACAATTTGGTAACCTATAACAAAAAATGATGGTTTGAGAATTCGATCCAGAATGCTTATAACCAAATAAATTTCCAAAGTTATCAAAAACAAATGATAATAAATTCTGCACCCTTTACCTCACGAATAGTGAAGAAGTTACCGAGTGATTTTGACATTTTCTCATCGTTTGCATTGACAAACCCATTATGTATCCAGTAACTAACATTGCTCTCTGGACAAGCAGCGCAGCTTTGGGCCATTTCATTTTCATGGTGTGGAAAGATCAAATCCATGCCACCACCATGAATATCAAATGTGCAGGTCAGATAATGAGCACTCATGGCACTGCACTCTATGTGCCACCCTGGTCTTCCAGGACCCCAGGGGCTGTCCCAACTAGGCTCACCAAGTTTTGCAGCCTGGAAATTTGAGAATATTTACACATCTCATAAGTGTTAGAAATGATCAGAAACAAAACGAAAGTAGTGAATAACTTTTCACCTTCCACAGTGCAAAGTCAGCAGGATTTCTCTTTCTTGAATCAACAGCTACACGTTCACCAGCTCTATTGTCTTCTAGCTTCCGTCCAGATAATCGACCATACTCTTGGAAATTATCAACAGAGAAGTATACATCCCCATCAACTGTGTAAGCACAGCCATTTTCAATTATCTGCAAACGACATCGAAAATTTGAGAAATACGATCACATCTTCATAAAGAAGGAAAATCATTCAAGAAAGAAGCCACAAATTTAGTGACTGTAGAAATTTGTAGTAATCTGTTACTCGCCGAGTTTTTCGCTAATGAGAGAACTTGATGAGGGTTCAAATTATAAAGAAATAAGCACAAAACAAAGACCAAAGCTGAGAATATGTCTTTTATATCTTCCAAGTTGCGATTCATGGAAGAATATTCAATAGCGAAAGTTCAATAAAAAAAGAAAGCAATCACAAATTAAGGAAAAAACCTTTATGCACTTTACATTTTGGACTTGATATATCCCATTTTAAGAAGGTAAAGGTCCATAATATAAGAAGCCACAATGAAGTAACATCCCTTGAAGAGTTTTACCCTCCACAAGTCATATCTCCAGTAGTTTCTCCGCACACAAATGCACATGAGTGAGAGAGAATTCTCTTTAGCCAACAATTTAAAAAAAAAAAGAAAAGAAAAAAGGAGACAACTACAAGAGAAGTGTATGTATAAAAGGGCATAATGGGGCGCAAGGCACCTTAGCTATCATAGTCTTGATTTGCTCCATATGATCAGAAACCCGTGGCTGATGGGTTGGAGGAAGGCATTGGAGATCATCCATATCCTCCAAAAATTCTTGGCAAAATCTGCCACTCAAAGTTAATGGATCCTCTCCTAGTTCATTTGCTCTACGAATAATCTGCAATGGTCAATTTATTTTTAACCACCACATAAACATTTTAAATGTGATACATAGACAAATCAATCTAGCAAAAAATCATTTTAAAAAATGGAGGCAAAGAACTAACAATGGAGCAGAGAGTTCACTGTGCACTGAACACCACCTAAGGAAAGGGTTAAATATAGACAAATGGACTTTTTGGTTTGGTGGAAAAGTGGGTGTATAGAAAATGGGATAGAAAATAAAATTTTCCTTTGTTTGGTATGGAAGGAAAAATGAGGGGAAAGGAAAAATGGGTGGACAACATATCCTCTGCGGGTGGATGTTCGAAGGCAGCTGGTTGAAAAGTTCTTTGAAATTACCATTTTAGCCTTAAAAGTGGCACATTTTAAAAACACAGATTAGGGGAAAAAAATAAGTGTGCGCCCATCTATTTTGTCATTTTCTATGTACAAGTGGACCAAATTGCTGGGTCCCACATCAAAGTCATTTGTTTCTTACAATAAATTCTCCCATATATAGAAGGGCAATTATGGTAATTTCTTGGTCATTTTTTTTATTCATTTATCTTCTCATACCATATAAAATAATAAAAAATTATTCCTCCTATTTTTTCATCCTCCATGCCAAACAAAAGGAAGAGAAAGTATCTTTCTTTCTATGACGGATGGGAAGTCTGTCCCTCTTAATTTTTCTTCCTTCCTATTTTTCATCCCTCCTACCAAACTCCAACCAAACGAACCATAAAACTAGGAAGCAAGCAGTTTTCCAGCACATACTATGAGACTGAAGCAGGATTCATTTGCCCCCCGTTTTAATGGTCCAAAATACCCATTTTTTCCTTGCAGCTCATTAAACCAAAGGAAATATAGTATAGAAATCTTCCCTCTCTCCATCCCACTGTTGATCCTCCATTTGCAATCCCATCAACTTTTGGCTAACATTAACTGTGTGATCCACGGTGGCTGCCATCATCAACGCCTTGGATCATTGTCCTCACCATGTTAAAAGCCCTAAACAACATCATCGTGGTCATAGCTCTCTCTCTTTCTCTCTCTCTCTTATACACACTCCTCACAATGAATGTACCATCTTCCTCCTGTTATACTCTCTGGGTTTATGCTCCGTCAAGAACAAGGCCTCAACCTATAGTCTGTTGCATCAAAAGAACCCAATTTCCTCCTCTTATACTTCTGTGCTTATGCTCTGTCAAGAACAAGACTCCACCTACAGTCTCTTGCATCAGAAGAACCCAATTTCACCCTCACCACCTCAATCTCTTATGGCCAAAATAAATAATAGCCAACTGAAGTGGAGAGAGAGAGAGAGAGAGAGAGAGAGAGAGAGAAGTATTGTGCCCAAATAGACTGAAGTTCATTCTGTGCGAGACGTGATCGCAGGAGAGGAAAAAAACCCACAACCCATTTTAAATTCAGCATAACAATAAATTAAGAAATAATGATGTTGAAATAGATTCAATCCAAATAAAAATACAATGCCAAGAAAATCATAAAACTTCAAAACCTTGGTATGCAACCAAAGCACCATAAACTAAGACCTAAAATGGTGCATTAAGCTTTTCACCTTGTCATCAACGTCGGTGAAATTCCGTACATACACAACGTCATAGCCCAAGTGTTTCAGGTACCTGCATAATCCCACTTCATGCGATTATGATCACGATCTATTGTCAACAAAGTTAATTCAAATCCTTTATCCCTAATTCACATAGGCAGAAGCAAAAGCACAAAAACCTCCACAAAACCTTTTGTTGGAAGAAGGTCAAGCAGCTTTAATACCCATACATCAGCCAACTCACATTACCCACAGTTACAAAAAACTTGATTAATTACACTAAATAATTTTAACACATGGGGTGGTACCCAAGCTACAGCCCAAATATCACAGGGAAAAACTGTCATTACCAGATAAATTGTCATAGAAACTAAATGATACCATTCAGCAATATTTTGAACCAAACAAAATTAGAACTTGTAGTATCAGATATGTTTTTTGACATTTAATAACAAAATGCCAAAAATTTAAATTCCCCGTAATATCGTCATTTCCCCAATCCTGCCCATCAAAATAGAGCTGTTATTTCTATTTTCGCATTCAATTTATAATTTCGCATATCTACCCTGTTCCGTTTTACGGTTTAATGACCAAAAAATGATAATCGGGTAAAACTATCAATCAACTAAACTCAACCAAGAAGCCTTCACCTTCTATACATAAATCCAATCAAAAAAAAAAAAAAACCCATGTGTTTCAACTATACAAACATTCGTCAATAAATGCACAGTTACAGCTAATACACATAGAAATTATGCAAACAGAGAGAAGAGGGAGGGACCTGTAGAGGACATCGAAGGCGACATAGGCGCGAGCGTGGCCGATGTGACTAAGGTCGTAGGTGGTAACGCCACAGATATACATTCCGACTTTGCCTTCTACTTTGGGTTTGAATACTTCCTTCTGTTTCGTCATGGTATTGTAGACCTGAAATTCTTGTTGTTTCGCCATTTTCACAACTCTCTCCACACTCTGTTCTGTTCCCCCCTCAACCAGAATTTCCAAAACCTAGCCCTAGTTCACAGATTTGGGGGCGCCTATGTATAACGTTGAAACGAACAGCCAAGAAGACAGTGCCTTTATTCTCTTTTTGCCTTTTGGGTAAATTACATTCAAATCCCCTAAATTTTGTCACTTAATCAAGCAGACCCCCTCATATTTGACAAATTACACTGAACCCTACCAGTAACAGTCAACTAACGGGCCTAACGGAAAGTGCAAACTAACTATTTTATGCACTTACATAAAAATTAATTAAAACCATCCTAACCCTAACCCTAACCCTAATACCACACCCAAATCCAATGCAAAACAACCCAAAACCCTAACCCGTAAAATATCTTCCTCACTTTCTTGAGTTTTCTTTCTTTGCTTTGACCTCAAGGCAAAAACCTTCACAAAGTCACAAGTCAGGAATTTTCTTCCTTCACCGCTTTTAACCTAATTTCGGCTTAATCACTGCCACCCAACACCATTGCAACCAAATACTCCACCCCCACACCGCTACAAACCCACCACCACACCCTCCAGTTTGAAAACTATCATCCACCTCTACCCACCACAACCCCCAAAATACCTACCCAGCCCTACCTATTCCAAAGCTTCCCACGCCACACGCCCACCTCCTGCTACAACCACTGCATCCTCACCGAAAATTGAAATCAGGGGCGAGGAGTTGGTTGCGGTATGATGTATTGGGATCTGTGTGCAAAGAGAGAGAGAGAGATTACATTACACAGAGGAGGTTAGGTTCTTGTGACCCAATATTTTTCCCTTGTGTAGGCAGCCTGGGTAAGGGGCAGTTACAGGAGGGGGTATGCGGTTGTGTGGTGACGGATAAGAAGAGGCGGGTTAGTGGTTAGAGTAAATTATATAAATGGGAGAATTACATTAGACGTCAAGTAAATTATATTAAGGCCCTCTAAAATTTGTAAGCGTGTAATACTGAGATTTCTGAAATTTAAAATGTTATATTTAAATCAAAAATACTTTAATCGAATATAAAATGTGAAATATTTAAATTTTATGACTAAAATTCATGATCTATTATGACATTTATTGAAATAATCAAAAATAAAAATTTAATTTTTTCTTAAAAAATTATAATTAGTATACAATTATACTATCTATTGAAATTCAATTTGGTCGTCTAAATGACCAAATTAAACTACCAAATTACTCAATTAAAGCTAGAAGATATTGTGTTCATTACAATTTGACCTCTTGTTAAATTTTTTTAATTTTATTCTAATAGATAGTATAATTATATATTAATTATGACTTTTTAAGAAAAAATTAATTTTTTATTTTTTATTTTTTATTTTATTTAAATAAATGACATAATATAACATAAATTTTGGTTATAAAATTCATGTTCTATTATGAATGACTTAAACCCTTTATTTAATTTTTTAATTTTATTCCAATAGATAGTATAATTGTATACTAAATTACAATTTTTTAAGGAAAAATTAGTTTTTTTATTTTTGATTTTATTTCAATAAATGATATAATAGAACATGAATTTTGGTTATAAAATTTAAAATATTTGATATTTTATCTTTAATTAAAATATTTTTGGTTTAAATATAACATTTTAAGTTTGAGGAGTTCAAGTATTATATGTCTACAAACTTCAAAAGGTCTGAGCGTAATTTACTAATTGATATATTCACGGATATTAACAGTAATGGTTTAAGTGTTATGCGTGTATAAATTATAAGGGATTTATATGTAATATTTTAAATATCAGGATCTGAGTGATTAAGTGATAAATTTCAAGGGTCCGAATATAATTCTCCCATTATAAATTGTTGAATTGTTTGAAATTTATTTGATTTATCATATTTCTTGTAAGGGGTAATTTAGGTATTTTGGTTTCAAATGTTACTGACATCATCAAAATCGGATGGCACTTTAAACGGATTCTCACGGTAGGGGGCGATGTGTTATAACAAATTAAACCATAGGGGAGGACAATGTTATATTCAATACCTGAGGGTGTCTTTCTAATTAAGTGTCAAAATTTAGGAGATCCAAATATAATTTTTCTTGACTTTTTCCCCTTTTTTTTTTTTGGGGGGGGGGGGGGATTGGGTTGGGGTTGACGTTCTATGGTTAGGGTTGAGACACATTGTAAAGCAATAAGTTTGAAAGGGCTGTAATTTTGGTGTGATAGGACATAAATCTGCAGCTGTTGCACACTTGTAGCAGATAAATTGGATCTGCATAGATTTTAAGGAAACCTCCTTTGATTTTGGAAACGAACTGACTACTTTGCTAGATTGGACTGAAATTTTTGTTTCTTCTACCCTTGGTAACTCTGTTTTGATCGTCTCTCATTCGTTGTACTAAATGTTTTTTGGGGCTCTTTTTAAAAATTTTCTTATGGTGATTTTGGTATTGTCTCTCTCTAAACTGGATCAATTCGTTTATTATATTGCTGTATAAATCTCAATGAACTCTTAGCANGGAGGGGTATTTTGTGGGATGAGATTCCTGCGATATATTTTTTATTTAATTTCGTTTTGGTGGATCTCTTCGTATTTATTTAATACTAAGGATAACTTGTGTTTAAAGATACGGTATAATATGAATGATTTTAAAAAAGATGCTAGTGCTGTTGGATAAATTTATTTAAAACTGTCAAATGAGTTTATTGAACTCTGTCCCGTTTTATATTATAATTATAATTAAAAAGTTAAAAAATAAATTCATTCCAATTTATTTGTTACTTAAGAAATATAATGCTTTCTACACAACTCCAACAACTTCACTAGTCTACACTTATAAATATAATGCTTTCTATAATTTTATGAATTTATCGCATTCGATCTCTTTGCAACTTTTCAATTTTTTTGTTAATTAGATTCTTAGATATTTCATAACTTTGAGGGTCAATTTTACCCTAATTAGTATCATTGTGTCCTTTTATCTTCTTTTGATATGATTGTACATAGACAATGAACTCTAATGCAACACACACCTCTATCTTTTGGTCTTCCACCATCATATAATTGACTTTAACATTCATAGACTTCTATCATCAATTTCTTTCGTCACCATCGTCTTCCTTCCGCACAAAGCTAATCAATCACATGCATTGCAGTTGTTGGCTTTGGGAAGAAAAGGGAGCCGTCATCGAAAAAGTAAATTGAATGGATTCATGTTTGTTGGTGAATGGTTATTTGACTAGGTTATTGTATTCATAGTTATTGGTATTTCTTTTCTTATTTCTTTTAACTGAACTTTGGTGTTGTGCCCTTATTGTTACCACTGAGTTGAATTTTAAGATGACTGGTATAATATCATGAACATTAAACTTTGTTATACGTTTTTAACTTAGATTGTTATTGTTTCTTATTTGAAGCTTTTTTTGTTAGTTAAGTATATGTAGGGAACAATTGAACATTGGAGAAATGATTTTATTAACTAACAAAGATTTATTCTTTTTCGTCCTGGAACGGGTGTAGGTCATTTTTCATTCAGAATCAGTAAAAGGGATTCAGGTTTTTAATCTTATGGCATAATTGCCTCTTTTTTGCTCACTAATTCAAGGATGTAGTTCTCCAATTAAGCATCTACCGATAAAATTAAGATAAATATTCCATTGTATTAAGAAAAAAATTTAGATCTTCTTTGTAGACGATTTTAAATTCATGTGGTCACTAATTGTTAAGAATTATCTAGGTGAGTTGATTGGAAAGGACTAGCATCAGTGTTTGAGTAGAAGAATGGCTTCAATGGCGCAACTACTGTCATCTCTCAAGAGACGTGGTTTGATAGTATCAAGAGAAGAGGATCAACTTGATATAAATCCTTCAAGAGACTAGCAATGGACATGGTTGCATTACTGATAGTAGTATGGAATATGATTTCTTTTCTCTTCTAAGCTCGTCGTTTTTCCGTTATTTGTATAATTTGTTGGGATCACCTATAAAATCTTTAGTGCATGCTCTATAAGATTATATCATCTTTCCATCTAGAAATAATTACTATTTGGATTTTGTGAATTGCTTAGTCACAAAGTGTTGCTAGTTTTGAGATCCATACTATTGTAGTGAAGGCAAACTCGTGTGTGTATGTCATTCACCTTAATTGGTAGGACACACTTTAATGTCTCATATGATAGTCTAGCATTATGATTTCTCTGATTATATTATTTTTATTTTTATTTTTCTATCGACCAAGAGGTTAAATAAGTTACCAATGGTGTTAATAAAATAATTATGGAACTAAAAACTCAAGCACAATTCTGGAATATATTTCTTTAAGCTAACAAATTACAAATTTGTATTTTTGGAAAAGTTTATTTGATTAGAGGTCGAGAGAACTAAACAATTGATATGATACAATCAACTCTTGAGTGGAAATTAACACTTTATGCATGAGATATTTTGGTATGATGTCTTCTGAGAGCATTGTAAATTGAATCTTTCGGGTGTCTTAGGACAATATTTGGCTATTTAAATTGACATGTAACGTTTGAGATACTATTTAATTGTTTCCAAATAGAGATTATTGTGTGCCGAGTCTAATTCTTGAACTAAATCGTCACAAGTCTTTAATGGTTTTTATATCCTTTCTCCAAGGGAATATATTACACATAACCTTGCAAATAAACCAATCTATCCATGAAGAGATTGGGATCTATCTAAATATATAAGTAAGATCTACACTCAAAAGCCATTATTGTAGAAATAATACGGATAAAATACAACAAATACATGTTTAAATTGTAGCTCAATGTAGTCAACGTACAACGTATGTGTGCGATAACTAGTGAATTCAAGTGAGGCTCATTATATATAACTGAATCTCTTACTCATTAATGATGAATAACCTACCAAAAAATAGAGAAAAAAGTGTTGCAGGATTTGTTGCGATAATTTTGGCATAATAGAGTGGCTTAAGCCATCCAAGTGATGATTCATGTAAATAAGAATTCCTTTATTGCAGAATGTAATTATGAACTAAAGATTTTTCTCCTTGATATAGTCAAATGCATCGTGAATCTCGGACTGAAAATCACCACTAACTTCTTCATGGCAAGCATCATTGAGAAAAATGGGGAAGAAACAATTATAGATTTCAAGATAAAGAAATTTCCAGATAGTTTATTTAATGGTCACATCCAAACGTCTTCATTAAAGGGAATCGAATTCATAACTAATGGGAATCCAATTCTTGTGGAACTCATATGAGTCTCTCTTCAGTTCTTGAAAAACGATTTAATATTAAGCAAAAATATGTTGGTGGGTATCTGAATCTGAAATCATATGATATGTTCCCTAAATCGCAATTTTGGCTTAACCATAAGGGTTCGTTTGGTTGCCGTATTATAAATGGATAGATTAAATAAAGTTATCTAGTCTATTACAATAACAATTGATAAAAAAAAGAGATTAAATATCATATTAGAATAATATGTAATTGTATATAGTATTTGACAATACACAATATAAGCGTTGGATAATAATTATTTAGTCTAAATCGTTGTTTGGTTAGAAAATTATTTTATCGTATTAATGCTGAATTAACAAAAATACTCTTAATTAGTGTTGATTACAACTTTGTTTTATCAGGTGTGATGTTATAATAATACATTTGAATTGAGTTATAATATCACATCTCTTGGTAGTATTAAAAAACCCTCATAATATAGGTATATGGTACAAAAAACATACAATAAATATGTGATTAATATACATTTTTGAAATTAATACAACATCAAATTTGTCTGCCAAATAAAATATTCGACCTGATTAAATAAAAAATAATTCAATCCAATATTTAATCCATTAATAATGCATCTACCAAATGAGTTGGTGAATTGAAACCAACTCTATTCCTTGCAAGTTGCCATGGGTCAAAAACAATTAAAAAAACCCATAATGGCCTTAAGTTCTTGTAAAAACGGTCAAAATTATCTCCATGGCCTCTTAAATTCCTATGGAGAACATGGCACACACAAGAATAATTCAAATTAAATTGAGAAAAACAAGTTTGAAAATATCCCAATTTGATCATTTGTAGAGAGTCTCATTCCTTCAACAGTGTCATTCTCCAAGCATTCCATTGTGCTGGATAATTGATTTCTGTCTCTGCATTCTAATCTCTTTATAGAACTTCTCAATAAACCTCTCAGCCCTCTCATCAACTGAATCTTCTTCCCCACTCGAATCCAACGATTCCCACAGTTCTTTTGTTCCTGCAACTTCATTAGCAGGCAATGGCTCCAAGCTATCCAAGGGGTAATTTCTCTCTCCTCCCTCAGCTTTCAACCTTCCCAAACACTTGGACATGAATAAAATGGAGTCTAGGTCTCTATATCTTCTCTTCTTGAGTGGCTTTCTGTGATAGTGAATGAAGGGAGAGTTTGAAGGAGAGAACTGGATTTCTTGAATATACCCATAGTTGTAATGCTTCAGAAGTTCAAATTTCTTCAGTTTACTTGATTTCTTGAGAGAAATGAGTCTTGGAATAATGGGTTTCCTCATTTTGGCTATGAAAATGGAGATTTTGAGGATCTTTGAGACTCTGGAAAATGGGTGCTTTCTTTCTGGGCATCTTTTGAAAGCTATTGAGGAAGTGGAAGGTTTACTGAGAAACTGTTACACAGTCTTTTCAATTTGAGAAGGGTTTGCTCTTGGGGTTTTGTGACTTTGTCTAGGGTTTCTTGGGTTTAGTGTGGGGGGTTTTTAATGGTGTAAAAAGGTGGATGAAGTTTGCGGCGAGAAAGAGAGAGAGATCTGAATGGTGGTGGCCTGGTTGGGAGCTAGGCTGTAAAAAGGTTGGCGTGGTCGGTGTCATTTTGGACTTATTTCATGAGATGAGCATATAGCCGTTAGAGCCCAGCTCCTGTGTTTTTAAATGGTTGGGCTATTCAAATTTTTGAAGGAACCACCTTCCCAGCGTTAGCCAGAATTGGCAACCCTCTCACCAGTGAGACGAAAAATGTTTGAGAAAATTACATGCAGACTCTTTGAATTCTGTCATTTAATCATTCAAATTCTTTGATATTTAAAATATAATACACAAATTCTTTAAGATTTATACACGCACAACACTTAGACTCCTCTTATAAATATATCTGTTAATAAATTATACTTAAATCCCTTGAAGTTTATACGCATATAATTTAAAATGTTATACTTAGACCAAAACTACTCCAATCAAAGATAGAATATCAAATATTTTAAATTTTACAACTAAAATTTATGTTCTATTATATTATTTATTAAAATAAAATCAAAAATAAAAATTCAATTTTTTCTTAAAAAATTATAATTAATATAGAATTATACTATCTATTAAAATAAAACTAAAAAATCAAACAAGGGGTCTAAGTCATTCTTAATAGAACATGAAAATTCATGTTTTATTATGTCATTTATTTAAATAAAATTAAAAATAAAAATCTAATTTTTTTTAATAAAAACATAGTTAATATACAATGTTAATCTGATTTGTTAACCAAATTAATTATAATTATTAAATTGATAGTCGATTTCAAGGTTCCATCCATCTCAATGGTGCAGAAAACTTTCACCACCGGATCATGCAAAGGCCTTAATAGCATCTAAAAGATTGGATTGGCAATAGCGAACAGTTGGACGTTTACGACAATTTCATATGGTACGAGACATTCTCTGTTTTTTTTTTTTGGTAAATAGTACGAGAAATTCTCACTAATTTGTTACAAACTTAATTTTAGGATCAAGTTTTTCCTAAAAAAAAGATCAAATCTTAGGATGGCAAACAACTCAGTTTATTACAATTTCACTTGTAACGATACAGTAAACTCTCAACTGTGTAATTAGTTTTTCATTATCACAATTATTAATTTGTTACATATTTAAAAGAAAGTTATTTTATTTTATTCTCTGAACTATGTAATTTTCTTTATTTTATCTCAACATGTCAATAATTTTCGTCTAAAAAAATAATAGATGGGATAATGTGAAATAATCAAAGTAACCGAAGAGATAATGTAAAAAATTTAATAATTCTGAAACCGAGTCCTTCATAACCAATGTTAAAAAAATTGAATGGACTAATTACATAAGAAGTCTAATCAACAGATAACTGACGAGGATTGTCATTTCATGGGTAAAGAATAACTGCGGATAGTCACTCTTTACTTTTGCAAGCTTTGTAACACTATAGTAAACGAGACTCTAGCTATATTATTGGATTGAGAGAATCTGATTTATGTATTCTTATTTCATTATTTACAACGAGATAATCTTAATTTTATTAAATTTAAGTTATAATAAAACAACTTTATCGTCTGACATAGCCCAGAATTGGTGGTGACTTAGTGCGCACCCTCCAAAAAAAAAAAATTATTGGGATCAATTGAATAATTATTATAAGTAATTTTATTTTTTTTTATAAAATATTAAAATTAATCTTTTTTAAATTGCCCAACTAAAATTAATTTTTTGAGTCCCCCGGCGGGGGGGACTTTGGGAAGGAGTTTCCAAAGTTTATGCCTTGTCCTGACTGAGATTAACTGGTCGGCGGCAACAGCCAAATAAAATTTGGCACGGTGGGTTTTCTTTGTGTCTAAACATTCTCTCTCTGTCGTGTCGCTTTCATTTGATTTGCGTATCACATATGCTTTGATGGGTTTGTTGAAGAAATCGCTCTTGTTTGTGATGGTGAATAAGGGACCCTGGGAATCTGATAAATCAAACACATTAAGGCAATCATGTGTCGGCATAAACATATAGTTTGTATCAATTTATATATATATATATATATATTAAGAGTAATTTGTGTCTAAAGATACGGTGCAATATAAACTAATTTATTAATTTGAAGATGTGATGAGTGAAGATTCCAGAGAGAGTGAAGAGTGATGAGAAGAAAATAAAATTAAATATAAATATTTTTAAAAGAAATGTTGGTAGTCGTTGAATGAGTTAATTTGAAACCGTCAAATGAACTTATTAAATTTTGTTCGTTATATATTATAAACTAGAGATAATCGTGCTTGAAAGTACGGTTCAATGTAAATGGTTTTAAGAAGGATATTGGTGACCATTTGATAAATCCATTTGAAACCGTCGAATAAATTTATTGAAGTATGATCGTTTAATTAGCTTGAATCAAATTTAAATCAGTCCGAATTTTAATACGTAAAAAAATTAAAAAATAAAAAAGGGATCTCATTGAATAAATACTTATCTAGAGGGGGTGTGGATAAAATTTGTCCTCAAATATATCATGAGTTATTTAGTAAAATTGTATTACAATTAATATTTTTAATTTGACAAGAGGTGTCAGTGAATATTCAAAAAATAGAGGAGGTGTCCTTAAAGATATGATAAACTAAAGGGGGTGTTGTTGAAATTTTCTCTATATATTATCATATATGAACAAGGTTTGTAATAAAAATTATGTTGACTACAAATTAATAAAAAATTAAATAACTCATGATAGAAATAGATGATCAATCAAACAAATTAAGGCAATTGGATGATTTTTTTTGGGCATAATTATTACAGTGCTAAATAATTATTTTTTGGTCACAATTGGACCCTTAGGTTGGTAAAGAAAAATGACATTTATGATTTGTCAAACATTCTATTATGAAATTTGAATTACTAAATCTATGGGTAACAACATTCTTCTCACATTTTGTTCCTAATTATGGAATTTGACTCACCCTTGTATATTTTCTCTCAATGGTTTAAACGAAAGCGATCCATCATAAATTCGAAGGGGACATCTTACAAACAGACAAGTCTTCTTACATCCTCGATCACCCATTTATTTTTAAGAAAAATTAGAAGAATGTGAGAAGGGATGTGCATCTCCCAATTAGTATTTAGGTCTATAATTTAAAAACAATCAATATTTTTTTAAATAAAGTTATACATACATCAAATAAAAAATAGTTAATTATCCATTTTGTTTCTGAACTATATCATTTGTGTTAAGCAAACTCCTGAACTACATTTTATGTCAATTTAGCCCCTAAATTATAATATTTGTGTCAATATGATCCTTTCGCCCAAATTCATCGCTACATTTGACGAAATTCCTCATGTGTACATCACGGGACTCCTAAATTATATCATAATCCCCAATTCACATGATGTGCTGTTAGAAATTTTATCAAAATTAACTGTGAATTTGGACGGAATTGTCACATTGATACAAATGGTATAGTTTGGGGGCTATAGTGAGATAAAATAATAATATAATTTAAGGACCAAATAGATACTTAATACTCAATAAAAAAATTCTTCATAAAGAGGCAATTTCTTTCCCTTTAATAAATACTTTATGTTCAAATTATTAATTTAAATCCAATTTAATTTAGGATTTGGGTGGGAAAATTTAGAGCTAATTGAGTAATTGTTATTTATTTATGGCAACTCAAAGCCACTTACTTTGAATTCCAATGAAATTCAAATTGTTACTTGATTTATAAAACCAATTCTAAATTCCTTGTTGACCAAGAATACATTTTATTGTAATCCAATGGCAGTTAGCAAATACCATAACACAATCCGACGGTAGTTAAAATTGTTAGGTGTACACAATAACTGAAAAAAAAAAAGGAAAAAAGAAAAACCCCATCCAAGATGTGCATACTTCACCCTCTGCGCACGGTAGTTAAAATTGTTGTGTCTACAATAACTTTTTTTTTTTTTTTAAAAAAAAAACCTCCAAGAAGTGCGCACTTTACCCTCTGCGCGCTTTAGCATTTTTTGCGCTAGAAGTCACGAACGTTTAAACGGTCCACTTTCTGTCTTCTATATAAACTTTGGTTCCCGGCGATTTCAGAAACGCAGCCATGAGAGAAAACCTTCGGCAAGTCGCAACCATTTTCCTTGTACAACTTTCCCGAGAAAATTAAACTTTCCGACAAAATAAGCCATCGGAAGGCGAATAGAGAGGTAAAAAGAAAGCGAAAGCTTTGAATCTTTGATCGAGTGTGTTTGTTTGGGTTCATTTGAATGGTGATTTCGGGTGAAAGTGAAGAGGGGAAGAAAGAATCGATGGCGATGGGACCAGAAAGATCGAAGCTTTTGCATAATTTCACTCTGCCTTCTAATTTGAAGTGGGGGAGCCGGAGGTTTCTGAGGTGTATGAAGGTCGATTCGAATGGCGAAAACTCCGTCATTGATCGCCGATTCTCGCTTTCGCAGGTTGAGAATGGTTTTATCAGAAGGCAGGGAGAGTCGGAAACGGAGAGGTTTGGATCGGTGAACCGGATGGGGAGTTTCGTGGTTTCGCGTTCGGTGGTACCGGAGGTTAGGCGTTCTGGTTGTGAATTTAGCGGCGGCGAGGATGGAATCGAAGTGGTGAGAGCGAAATTGATGTCGGATTTACGAAACGAAGCTGGTAAGATGAAAGATGCGATTCTTAGGGAAAATTTCGTGAAAAAGCCGCCAGTGGCGGTGATTCCGGCAGTGGCCGAACCATTGAAGCCGTGGAACTTGAGGAAGAGACGAGCTGCTTGTAAGGATCCGAATGGTGGCGACGGTGTTTCTGGGGGGAAAATTTCCATGGTGGACGTGGTGAGGCCTAATTTTGCTTCGCCGGCAAGGAATGACAGCAAATCGCCGAGATTGCGAGGCAATGATGTCGGTGGCGGTGGTGGTTGTGATGATGGTGCTGTTGGAGAGATGAAGAAAAGGGCGAAATTCTCGGTACCCCTTTCGAAGAGAGAGATTGCGGAGGATTTCATGGCCATGGTTGGACATAGGCCACCTCGAAGACCGAAGAGAAGACCTAGGATTGTGCAAAGAGACTTGGATGTGAGAAAATTTCTATAACTTTTGAAACTTTTAGTTCATTTATCTGATTATATATATCTGATTTTATTTGTGACGTCTTAATTCTCTGTTGCATTGCTTTTTGCAGACTGTTTTTCCGGGATTGTGGTTGACGGAGATTAGTCCTAATTTGTACTCAGTTCCTGATGCTGCTGAGACAGGAAAGGTGGGTTAAAACTTGTACACTTTGCCATCGATTTGAGGGTTTACGTTGAGTTTCGCTGCTTAATTTTATTGACAAATCTTTAGCAGATGTAGTGATGCTATACCAAGTGATGTTTCTTGATGTTTGATGGGTCATCTGTTTGGTGAAGACTGAAATTGACTACTAATTTGTGGTATAGCGCTCCATTTTTATGAATTTGGAATTTGATGAAAGTGTTGAATTTCTTTGGTACGTGTAAAGCTTAGTTGATTCTGAATGCGAATTTTGTTTATATGATCACGACTGCTGTTCATAGTTCTTTATGTTAGGGAATAAGTTAAATAGTGGAAAGTTGGATGGATGCTATTTTAAGGAAAATGGTTTATCATATGAGGTTGGATTGTTTTAGCATACTGCTCATTACAGCATGTTCCAGTTGGTATCCTCTTATAATGCTGTAAACTTGTTTGTGGTGAAGTATCACATTGTGAAATGCTTAATTGGCTAGATTATGGTGCCTGTTTTATAATTTAGTTTTCAAATATATATATGGAGGTTGTAAAGCTGCGAGAAAATTAGTGCTAATGGGAAAAATTCTGAAGCTCGATTTTGAAGTAACGTACTTTAGTTTTCGAGTTTTTATTCATTGTTGATATTGCTAAGCTATGAAATAAAATTGAAACCAGTGGGGAGCAATTACAGACACTCTGATGGTGCTTCATGTATCTTAGTGTGTTTTAGCTTATATCCCTCTTATTTCATTTTCAGTGCGATTTGAATTTGAGGAGACAATTAGTAAACCAGTAAATACCATATGATGATTTATCAGTACCCCTTGTTTTGTGAGTGTAATCATTGTTCTTCTTCTTTCCTGTTTTGGTTGGTCTCACTTCTCGTTCTTGTCTTTCTAATTGGTGAAAACCACCTGCTTATAAGACATGGACCATTTTTTGCTTCTTTAGGTCAAAACATTCAGTAAATTGTGATGGGATTTGGGAAGATACTCATGTTCACTGCTCATTTTATATTTGACTTGAAAAGTTTATTTTGTCCTCACTTTCAAATCAGTTTGATACAGAAAGGTTATATAACTGGTGTCATGTCTTGCCTTATATTTATGTTTCAGTGTTCATTTACATTTGGAACTATTAACCACATGGACATGTGAAAAATGTTAGTTCCGTGAGGTGATGGTGAAATTGAAAAGAGTTGGGCAGCTTTATTATTGTTTATATACATCTTGCATTTATTATTGTTTATATAGAAATGGGTAGGTTTATGTAGATGATTAATCAAATTCTTTTTGCTATTTTTTCCTAAAATTGATGAAAACATATCCTTTCTGATTCTTTACATCATTCAAGTTGTTGCTTTGCTTCAAATCTCTTTCGCATAAATCCTCTCTGTTTTCTTCTCTTTGTGGAAAGTTGTATGTCGACTGAAATTATCCTCTTTTCAAGTCAAGATCATCCCAGCAAACTTTATAACTACACACACACACAAGCCTACAGTCTTTGCTTCCAATTAGTATGGAGTGCCTTCAGTCTGTTGTTTTTTCATGGTCCTTAGCTGAGATAAAACTAAAACAGGTACCGGGAATCCTGCAAAATGGCTAATGCTGTCATTTCAAATTATCTACGCCAGAATTAAGATATTCATGTGAGATAAATTTCTCATGACATGACCTCAAGAGATTGTCAAGATTCGGACTCAAAGACGGATGGGATGGGTTTACATCTCGTTCATGTTACCAACTTGGGCTATTCTTTGCGGTTGGTTGCCAATTTTTATATTGATAATGCTGCCTCCCGAATTTTAACGGGGCATAATTGGTGGTGGCTTTTTTTTATTTGTGTTTTTCTCTCTAAAATCGTAATGAGTCGTGTTCTCTTTCGATCATTCGTTAATTACATTGAAATAAGTTTCATATGCGGATGGTGTAGATTTCCTTCTTGATGAGCAGCACGCACATTCTTATTTAATGCAGAACATTCATTTTCTAATCATGCTTCAATATAATTATGCGGATAAAATTATCGATACAATAAATTTTTAGAAGTAAAAATTTTATTTTTTTATTTTTATTTTTTTCGGCACGTAGAGATATAAAGTGGTCCAATTTTTCAAAGAATCAAGTGGTCTAAGTTTGTTTAATTTTTGATAAGTTATGTGCTTTTTTACACTTCTTAAGGGTCAGTTTGTTCGTGGCCATTTCTCTAACACAGTTCAAATTATGTTGGTCAATGTTGAGTTCGAAAGAATTGTCGGCGCAAATTTAAATATTCTATAAGAAAAAAAAAATTCAAGTGGTCGGCTTGTTTGTTAAGCTGTGCAAGTCTTGACCGTTAGAAAAGGGTGGGAATTGGAGGGAAACTCGGTACACCTAGGCTTCATATTTTGACTTTCAAACTATTTATAAGTGGGAAGTTTATTTTAGGTAAATTATATTTGGACCCCGAAGGTTTCTTACTAAATCACTCGATAAACCCCTGAGTGGGCATGTTTGTTTCGAATATTATTTATCGGTGGTATTAGAAATGTATTCCTTACATTTTCAATACTAAGGGATATTAACACCGGTAATAAAAATTAATTCAATCCTCTTCCATGTTTGTTTGTTCAATAGGCATCATGTTGGGTCCTACAAATAATTATTTATTCTATCACATTTTATATAAAAAAATTGGTAACACCGTACGCTTAAATATAATATAAGAAAAAAATTCAAAATAATTTTTTTTAAAAAAAATTTAAAAAAAACGGTAACACCATACTTTTAAACATAATACAAGAAAAAAATTTAAAATAATTTAAAAATTTTTTTTTTTAAAAAGAATCAGTGATACAGTACGCTTAGACATAATACAAGGAAAAAAATTCAAAATAAATTTTTTATATGTAAACTCTTAACAAAAGAGGGCATTTGTGTCAATTTGCATGTTTGTACCGTTCCTTCATTTAACTCATGAAAAAAATACCACTTGGTAGATGGTGACATTATGACTACTGTTCATACTGTGTCGGTATTACGACCTGAAAAATAGTACTAACTGTAAAATACTAAACAAATAAGGTATAAAGTGAGTCTCATGTACTATATAGCACTCTTATTCCCAAAACAAACTAGTCCTGAGGTATGTAATAACAATTGAAAACTCGTTAAATCTGAATAACATTGGCAGATTTTTATCATAAAATTTAGAATCTATCCGTGTAGAACCCAACACCATGCCATCAGATCGACAATCTTGCTATGCAATTCAAGAATACTACCTTCCATAGCCAACAACAACACAACCACCACCAAGCCAAATCTACCACCACTAAAGCACCTAAGCCACAACCAAACCACTATTACACACCCACCCCCCAACTTCAACCATTCTGCAACTTTAGCCCGATCACTGGAACCCTCAACATACCCCATCCCATTGATGTCTCCCCCCCTCCACGAAGTATTTGCAACACTCCCCAACACAACACCTAACCCTAAGATCCATACAAGACGAGCACACCACCATAGATCCAATGCCCACTCACGCCGCACCCAACCACACCAACCTTAATCCACTATCCTGCAGCCAATAACCGAAAGCAACCACCACTCAAATCCAATACACCCCACCCCACCATTCAACACCCATTCACACTGACCCAAGTACCATTGAAATCCACCATCCAGCCACCACTCAAGCACCCACTCAAATACAACAACACACAAGCCCACCACCAAGCTCCATCAAAGTCACTACTGCAACTTAGTCGCCAAACCAGCCCCCAAATTCAACGTGTATTATGTTATTGCTTTCAGATTCTTTGCAAAGCTTGCAGAGTTTTCTATGTTGTCCGTGTCTTTGCCCAATTGAAGGGGAAGAAAATAAGAGAAAAGGAAAAAATGTCAAAGTGATTCCACGAGAAGGGGAAGTTTGGGAGAGAAATTTGGGTTGTTAAGGGGAGTAACTGAGAGTGAGAGAGAGAGAGAGAGAGAGAGGTGGAGGACAACGACGAGAGTGATGGGTTCCAGAGGTGGCTAGAGTTTCTGAAAATTTTTGTCAAGGGCAGCAGAGAGAAACGAAATTGCGTTCATATTACTTCCCAGTGTTTGGTACATGAGTTGGGCTATCCAGTTATGGATCAATGTATCCAAGGTATTGTTTTTTTTTTTTTTTGATGAATTATTGAATATTAATGGGTAAACTCGCTATTTTTCAACTTCTATTTGATTTATTAGTTGTCAATTACCAATAAAAGGTGTTAATGTTTTCTTTCATAGCTGATGGATCTGTGTGATTTAATGGCGAATTGTAGGGGTCCAGATGTAAATTACCTTTCTTGGGAAAGTAAGTTGAATTTTTTTTGTTATTTCTTACTCCAATAGAGGAAAAAAGAATGCCAATGATTGCAAAACTAAGCAATATAAAATTAAGAAAATATTGACACGTAAGAATTCTAATTTGAATTCTAACCAATCACTTGATGGATTTTATTTCACAATTCATTAACAAACTGTCAAAAATAAAAAAAAAATAAAAATTCAAAACTTGATGGTTTAAATAAAGGACAGTTATTTTGAGATATTTTTATTTTATTTTTTAAAAAATTACTAATAAATATTACTTTTTTTCCTAAACATCCATTAAATCTTATTCTTTATAATTTATTCGAATGATGTCTTAAACTATATAAATATTATATTTTGTTTCAATTATATCATTCTCTCGACAAATATTGACATCTAAGGTGTTAAAATATAACATTAGTATTTTTTTTATATTCATACATACTCTGACTTTTTGTATATTAAACTATGTGTTGTCTACTTGCTAGTTTAATAAAAAAAATTAATTATTAATATTTTTTAGAATTGCCATCACGGGATACAACGGAAGTCTTTGGACCCCACATATTCTCGATGGAGAAGAGTTTGGCAAAATGAATATTATTATTTAAACAAAAATTGAGCATTCATATGTCTGTAATAATAACTTCAATCAAAACTCAATATTATTATTGATCAACTCTCAAAAAAACATAAAATTTCAAACAAATGAAAAGTGAGAGCAAAAGGGTAAAAAAATTTCAATCCATAATCACCACAAAAAAAAAAAAAAAAAAAAAACTTCACC